GCGATCCAGTAGCACGTACAAGTCGCTGGCGGCGAGCCGCGACGACTCGGTGTCGAAATCGTCGTCGTCGTTAAAACCATCGCTATCCCTGTTTGAGTCATTCATTCACGTATGAAAGAGGCGCGCACGTCCACAGCACGTTGCTATCGCCGTCGTCTGGATCGTCGTTGGAGACGCTGTCGAGCCGCAAGACGTTGTCGTGGGCTCGGTGCACCCGCCCGTCAAAGGCGGTGGCGCTTGCTGCAAAATAGTCGTGTCGTGTCCCACGCTCGCGCAACTCGTTCAAGATCGCGGTCACTTGACTAGCGACGGCGTCGTGCAGCCGCGTCTGTAGCTGGTGCACGTTGGGTCCTTTGGAGAGAATCATGGCATCGACGACCGCATCGAGCGGCGACGAGGTCGGCGTCACGAGCATCCACTCTGGGTCCTTGGCCATGGCGTCGTCGACGTACGTCTCGATGGCCTCGGTCATATGCTCGTGCAGCATCTCTTTGAGTTGTGCCACATGCGCGAGGTGCCAAAAGACAGACGCGTCTTGTGGCAGCGCCTGGAGCGCTCGACGCAGCCGGCCAAGGGCTTCGTCCACCTACGTAGAAGTACAGGCCATGCAGGTTGGGCCCTCATGGAGGCGCGTACGCTCTCGTCGTCGTCGAGCGCGCTCGCTGGAAGCGCCGACCGGAACAAGACCCCGAGCACCTCTCGGATGCTGCTGCTGCTGTCGTCGGCCATCGCCGCCGTATCTTTGAGCTCTTTCGAAGGATTGGGAACTTCAACAATGATAATAATAATAAAATAAACATAGCACATGGTCGATGGTATTACGGCGTTACACAGCACGGACATAGGAGGTGGACATTGAGGGCCGCGACGATGCAGTCGTCGTGGAAGACGTGGCCACACGAGAGCGTCGTGAGGCAAGCGCTCTGCTCGTAGAGGCCGTGGTCATCCAAGAAACGGCTGCAGAGCGCGCAGATGACGCCGTCGGTGACCGAGTTGGACGAGCCCCACGACGACGCCGACGACGACGAGAGCGACGAGCTAAGCCGGTCGGCGCCGTCAAGGTCGGCAAAGAGAAAGTCGTAGAACGCCTTGGGCACGGCGTCGGCGGCGCGTGGACAGGCCATGGCCTTGGGGTGCGAGATGAACATGAGGATCGTGTCAAGGACATCTTGAAAGGCCGCGATGCGGCTCGCGATGGCTCGCCCATGGGCAAAGAGGTCCAGGAAGTGCGGGCGTGGCATCTTCTGCTGCAGGTCCATGTAAAACCACGGACAAACCGAAGCGCAGGCGTGGCCGACCTGGAGCGCGCGGGCGACAGCTTGAAGTAGCTGCTTGAAGTCGCGGTGGCGCTTCCGCGTGGTCAGAAGCGCCTGCGTCTTGCAGTCGGTGATAGCTAGCTCATAGTGGGTCGTCTTGGTCGACGTGGAGACGATCGCCTTGGTCACGCGCACGGCGAGGACCGTCCGGCCCATGGGCGAGGGAGTTGAAGAGTGGTGTAACAGTTGGAAGCTTTGTGGGCAGCGTGAGTCCGCCACCACAACGACGACGGCGGCCGATTTTATGTTTATCTGCGATTATTATTATATAAATTAATACGATGAATATATTATTCTTTTCTCGAACGTATCCGGAATATTTTCGACCCGATATATATTCTATTTTATTCCAACGTCCCCGCAAGGATTATATGCATCACACGAGGATACGTTCGACAAGCTAGTAATAGTATACTGTATATTTAGGTGATGTGTTGGACAAAAACACATTTTAATTTGGTGGGTGGGCGTCGATGATTCCATCGACGATGCAATATAATAAGTTAGGGCCACGGATATAATATATATTCGTGACCACCTTTCCATATATTTAATTTCGATATTAAAATACTGTGATGATCACGTGCGGTGGTTGATTGCTGAGAGCCAAATCCGTCATCACGCGACAACTCAGATCGTGACGTGGCGGCACCTTGGCGCGTGAGGTAGAGGGACCGCCTCATCGAGCTGCGAAGAGTAAATAGGTACGTATGCACCAACGTTGGTGGACATGGGAAGGGACAGACGAGGAGGTCGCCCGGTACATGAAGAAAGGACAGTGGTCCAGGACCACCAAGACAACCAACTCGGAAGCCAATCGTTGAGTGTCCTACGACCAGTGCCCCTTCCTTCGACATGGACACTTCAAAAACACAAGCGTGGACAGGAAAACCAGACGCGCGACGTAGCGACCGCTACAATATCTTGGCAAAACGAAGAGTCAGCGAAATTTGGTCGCCCGTTGCAGCTTGTGTCGACGGCGCTCTTCAACGATGGTTTCCCTCTGTCCTATATTCATTCTCGTACGCCCGAGCGTAAGCCACCAACAACCAACAGGGGACGCAGCGGCAATCGGAGTACATTGCATTGCAGTCTTTGCAGTCTTTTCTGCGACGCCGAAAAAGAAGAAATCGTGTTGCAGCAACCACCGCGGCCATGTCGTCTGCATCATCTGCCGCACGACCAAGGCGCGCCGCGTGCCAAACGCTCCTCCGGTTGCCACGTCATGAATCTCCACCGCCGCTCGCACCCGCCCGACATTTTTTATTTATGGGTGCGCTTGCTGCCGCCCACAAATCTTTTGGAGAGGCCCTGCACATACCGGGACTCGTATAGTACACGTGACGCCCATGCGCAACGTCGATGCCATGCTTGTATCGAGGCCATAAAACCTAGCTCCACGGTCGATGAAGATGCTGACCTGGCCTACGCTTCTTCAGCACCGGTACCTCGAGCGTACCTAGGATCACAGAGTATACTTTGCACCCACAAGACCATTGTCGCCACCTGCCTTTTCGATGAACCTGGCATCCGCCGCCATTTCCCGAGATCAAGCGCGCTTGCTCTATTCCCATCACTGGCCAATGACGACAGTTCTAAATTTCTGATTTTCGATGGCGCGCTGGTTGACGCTCGAGGACGCCAAGGCGTCGTTCAACCTCTTTTGCTGCGTCTATGGCATCGGCACGTTGGGCATGCCCGGCAACTTTGCCCGCGCCGGGCCGACCTGCGGCGCGCTCGCGCTCGCCTTTATGGGTGTCGCCAACGTCTACGCCTCGGTCGTCTGCAGCAAGGTCATGCTCCGTGCGCCAGGCTCCGTGCAAACGTTTGCCGACCTCGTACGTCGTCGTCGTCGACTCTCATGCACTCATATATATATGTACGCTGGGCGCTGGGCCGCCACGGGCGACTCGCCGTCATTGCCTCGCAGCTCGGTGTCTGCCTCTTTGTACCCTGCGCCTTTCTCGTCCTCGGCGGCTCGCTCCTCGACACCGTGATCCCGGACGCGTTCTCGCCGCGGCACTGGACGATCCTCATGGCCATGACGATTCTCCCGATCTGCCTCGTGCCGACGCTCAAGGAAGGCGCGGCGGCCGCGCTCGCGGGCTGCATTGGCACGATCGTCGCCGATTTTTTAGCCCTCGGCGTCCTCGTCTACTACTTGGGCGCAGACACCGGGGCACCGATTCCGCCGCCCGACATCACCTTCGACAGTATTGCATCGACGTTTGGCAACCTCGCGCTCGCGTACGGCGCGGCGATCGTGATTCCGGACCTCCAGCGCCAGCACTCGGACCCGACCCGCATGCCCCGGGTCGTCCTCTTCACGTTGCTGTTAGTGACATTGCTCTTTGTGACGATTGCCATCACGGGCTATACCATGGTCGGGTGCCAGATCCCCGGCAACCTCCTCTTTGCCGTCTCGGGCTCTGCGCTGGGATTTCAGTCGCCCCGGGGCCCCGTCGTCCTCGCCTTCCTCGCCATGCAGCTGCACATCACGATCGGCTTTTCCGTGCTGTTGCACCCGGCCTTTTACTACGCCGAGCGGGCGCTCCTCGGGCTCCATACGGCGCGCCGCACGCGGCTCCTCCATGGCGATGACGAGACTGCGACGGACGATGCAACGAGCGACGAGGCCAGCGACGCGACCATGTCCGAGTGTGCGCAAGACGCCGCACTCGTGCACGCGCCACGCGCCAGCGACGTCGACGACGACGACACCAACGAGGTGTTACGGAAGCCACTGGAGGACGATGATGACGTCGACGTCGATCCACAGTTTGCAGCGTGCTGCGTGCTGCGGTCGGCCATTGTCGCCGGCCTCACGCTGGCGTCGGTCGTCTTGCACGATCACTTTCACGAGCTCGTCGACTTGGTCGGCGCGTCGTCCGTGTCGCTGAGCTGCATCATCTTGCCGATTCTGAGCTACTTGGCCGTCTTTGCTCCAACGATTCCGTGGTACGAGCGCGCCTACTGCTACATCGTTGTCGTTGTCTGCGGCGTGCTCAGCCTCTACGTCACCATCAAGAGCGCAAGAAGCATGCTCTTGCCGGCCGCGACCGACGTCGTGTTTCCGTTTTGCCCCGCCGAGTACCAGCACGTTGCGTATACGAACGCGACGCACTACAAGCATACGATGACGACCTAATGCGCAACGAGCGACGAGACGACTGCGCCACGGGCTGCAATGCGACACTTGATACGAATACCTATATGAACTACATTGATCGCACTTGAAACAGTAGTGATCCCTCCCAGCAGACGAGACCAATAAGATGCATCTTATTGACCCTTGATAGGGGTAGGGTGTTGCAGGCCTAGGAAGAAACGAGATGGAGGAATTGTCCTCGCGCAGACCGTTGATTGATGCAGCTGCTCGTGATGGTGACGATGTGCTTCAAGCCCGCCATGACGACGAACGTGAACCTCACGCAGGGACGTGCTTTAGGTAGCAGGTAATGCTGCATTGTAATAACATGCTCGATGGATGCGCTTGGGATTCTAGATGATATGCAAGCCGAGGTGGCAGCGCTATGTCGCGACAGGTCCTAACAATCGTGGGCTTGAGTGGTCGCTGACGCACTAGGATCTCATTCCACTCGGCCACCGTTTCCGTTGCGTCGTGTGCTGCAATGGCTTGTCTGTGTAGTCGTACGTACATGCACATAGCAATCTATGTAGTATGGGAACGACATGGTGCCCGCCTGTATTATTGTAACTCTATTCCTCGAAGTGGTACGGATCCTTCTCGCTCTTGGGCGCCATGATCGGGCCCGGCAAGGCCGCGCCGTCGTGGATGAACGTCGGGAACGGCGGCAACGCGTCGTCCGTAAACTTCTTCTTGCGGGCGTCCGTGACGCGCACGATGCCACCCGGCGCACCGGGGACCGTGCCCTTGACGTACAGGAGGTTGCGCTCGGGGTCGACCTTGAAGACCCAGAGGTTGTCGCGCGTGACGCGCTTGCCGCCCATGCGACCCGGCATCTTCTTGCCCTTCCAGACCTTACCGGGGTCCTGGCACTGGCCCGACGAACCCATGTGGCGCTCCGTCTTGGAGTTACCGTGCGACGCCGGCTGACCCGCAAAGTTGTGACGCTTCATGACACCCTGGAACCCCTTGCCCTTGCTATCGCGTCCGTCGTTCACACCAAAGAGTCGTCATCGCCAGCAAGCCTACCTCGTGCCGCACACGTCGACGTATTGGCCAGGCGCAAAGTGGAGCGCGTTGAGCGTCGTGCCCGCAGGGATGAGCGCATCGTCCGTGACACGGAACTCGGCGAGCTCGCGCTTGGCGGGGACGCCGGCCTTGGCGAGGTGGCCAAGCACGGGCTTGGTCACGTTCTTGGCCTTGCGCAGGCCAGCGCCAATTTGAAGCGACGTGAAGCCGTGCGTCTCCTTGTCCTTGACCTGTGTGACCTGGCACTCCTCCACCTGGAGGACCGTGCACGCGTGCGAGAGGCCCCAGTCGTCAAAGACCGAGATCATGCCCATCTTGGTGGCGAGGAGGCCCGTGCGCTTGGATTCGGGCGTCCACGGCTTGGCTTCAAGGGCCGTCGACATGGCGCGGGGCGCACCGAGGACGCGCGCGCTCGCAAGCGTGCGACGGAGGAACATCGTCGTCGTCTTGGTAGACCTCGGGAAGAATTCTAATGCTTGTTGCCCACCAGTAAGCGAATTGGCAAACGACGCAAGGCCATTGGCTAAAATACGCCGCAGCGCGCCATGCCATTGGCGGTCGGTCGCCTGTTTTAAACGTTTCGGCGACTGCAAAGTCCGCAATACGGAAATAGTGTACACGCGACCTAAACCGTTTACGTAGTGCGGGGATGGCGCCAGGTCGCTACAGGGAGCGCCACCTCGACTATCATCGTCCTACAAGATCGTGCGGTATACCGCACCATGCCATGATAGGCGTGGTGCGCATAGCATTGAAAACGAACGCCCGCTACCGTATCCTAAACACACTATATGACACATATGAGAATCTTATACGGGAAATACTGTGCATTGTCGACTTGGCAAAAGATCTCGCTGGCGCCGGGACAGATCGGCCATGGCGACCGACGAGCCGCGGACGCGCTTTGCATTGCACCTACCGCTACTCTACGGTGCCAAGGCCAAGTCCGTGCCTACGCCATCCGAGCAGCAGAACCGGCTTCACGGGCTCTGGATATCCGAGGCCACGCGGGTCGTGGACGCCGACGTCGCCGAGCGCGCCGAGGCCATGAGCCTTCCGCACAAGCTCGCGCGTAAGGCCAACATCTACTTGGCTGAGAACCGGCGCCTCGACATGCTATTGCGGCGCAAGCCCACGCAGGCCAAAACGTTGTCGTCGCGCTGCTGCTGGTAGTGGAAGGCTCATCGGATGGTGCGTAGGAAGAGCCTGCGGATGAAGAAGAAAAGGGCAGCGCCACGCATCGTCGACGATATGCTGGCGCTCGAGCACCGCTACCGCGAAGTGCGTCTGCGATCCTATTTCACACGGCGTCACATCTCTACCTAGTGGTGTGCCAAGGTGGTCCAAAAGGCGTGGCGGCGATACAGTCAAAAGCAGTTTTTGGCAACCTACGTTGGCTACGTGCGCGCAAGCGTCCAGATCCAAGTATGACGCACGTTCATTGATCTCCGAGTCACTTGCACTTTATTTAGCGCGTCATGCGAGGTGTCCTCACACGCAAATGGGTTCGCGTCTGGTACCTCTCCCAACTGCGCTTCGTCTCCAAGATCCAAGCCACGTACCGAAGCTTCCTTTACCAGCGCGTCTTGGCCACCAAGTTTCAGTGGCAATCCTACAACGCCACCGTGATCCAGCGCTATACGCGCGGCTACTTTGGTCGCCGGCGCGCGCGCGCAATCAAGCGCCATCTTGCGGCACTCCACGTGCAGATGCTCTGGCGCGGGGTCGCGAGCCGGAAGCGCTCAGACGCGCTCTGGCTCAGTCGCAGCGCCATAATTGTTCAAAAACACATGCGGCGGTTCCTCGTGCAGCGGAAATCCCGCGTCCTGCGCGCCGCCTACGACCTCGCCGCGGTGCACATTCAGCGCCTCTTTCGCGGCATGCGCGTACGCGATATTGATACCAACTTGATAGATTTCGGAGGATTGATGACGCACGGCGCGTAGGCCCGCGTGCGCGTCGATAAGATGTTGTTTGACCGCGAGACGATGAATCGCAAGCTGGTCATGGACGTTCTGGATGCCGAACTCGTGTGGTACAAGGAGCATGTCCAGAAGCTCCAGCGCCGCGTCGACAAGTCCAAGCTCGAAACACTGTACTCGAGTCATTCTTTGTCTCAACTCCGCTCATGAATTTGGATTGTAGCGTCATTCAAATGGAAATTGAACACCACCGCGCGCACGTTCGCATCAACGACGTACGTATCGTTTGATGCTTGTCAATGATGTAGTCGACAATATATTGTACGTGTAGATGGAGTGCATCTACATCGACATGCAAGACAGCGGCTAAAGATGTCGCCGCGGGCGATTACCGACGGCTGGCTGTACGAGATGGAGGCGAAAATCAAGGCGCAGCGGGCAAAGATCACGGCCGCCAAGCTCGACGCTGTCTTTGGCCACGGCCTGCAATTCCGTGCCAACGTCGCCAAGCTACAGACCCTGCGGCGGCAGCGCGACGACGCAATCGCGCGCCGGGACGAAGTACCCTACCCCCATCAATCCACTCCGCAAAATGCGAGCAAATGCCTGATTAGATTGAGCGCTGGCGCGTCGAAGAGTTCCTCGACTATTGGGAGGTGCATACTTTTGTTTTTCTTGTACAGAAATGGCAGGGTGTGGATTGTAGCGCGATATGCATCACATGGCGATCCTGCGCGCGCGGCAGCGGCAGCAAAAAATCGCCGACGAGCGCCGCAAATGGCACGTCAAGCCGTGCACAAAGGAAGGCAAGGTGCGACTGCACGCGACCGCGCGAGAGAGCACGGTGTTTTGCATCGGCAGTTCGAACTTGCTCGCTTTTTCCAAGGAATTTCAAGCAAACAAGAACGCTGTGACGGCGCTGACCGAGCAAGTGGCGCTTGTGTCGTCAACGGCGCAGCTGGAGCAAGCACAGACGATGTTGATGCCGCTTCTGGATACGTTTACGAAAACGTACAACGGCGTGCACCAAGCCTTGCACCAGGTCCCCCCGCCCCCGCACGCTATGGCGAGCGAGAGGTCGACCAGCGTCGATCCGCCGCCAGCGACAGATATTGTGCTGAAGACGAAGAAGAAGAAGGTCAAGACACTGGGGCAGCAGCGCCGGACACGAGATGCGCATGTTCCGTGGTCGCTCCTCGATCAGCTCGCGGCGGAGAAGACCAAGCTACAGACCGAGAAAGCTCTCGGTGCCGTATTTAAGCGTCGAAAACCGATCGGCGATGACTAAGAACTAGTATTGGATGACCCTTTCTTCAAGGCAGTTACAGCAGCAATGTAGTTTAACTTGTTAACTTGTTGGCGATCGATGCTGTCATGCTGAGACTCGTGTTTCTTAACATCGAGGCAATGTCTTGCGCCTATTCACGCAACAATCTGCTCCGTATTGGTATCCGTGGCGAGTCTTGTATGCGTGTACGCGCCCGCTGCTCATCGCCGACGTCGTCTGGCTTCACAACCAGTTTGCGCGGCGGTCGCAGTGCATTGCTGGCACGTAGTACCACTTGAGTCGTCGGCAGCACTACTTGAGCTGCGAGGACCAGCCTCGCTTCGTCGTGCGCAGGATCGACGTGGACTCGCCGTCAGCGCTGCTGACAACGTGGGTGCATCAGCTGGTCGTGCGCTCCGTCGTCGGCGTCGTGCTTGCCGTCCTGTACACCAGCTCCTTTTCTACTGCGGTTCAAGGCGCTTTCGATAGTGCTCTCGTGTTCGCAACGTGGCAGTGGACGAGCGTAAGGTTTGCTGTCGTCTGGGGACCCGATGCGAGTTGCGCTGAGCACGTCACGCCGGCTCCGCTGGTGGTGTCTTATTTTTCTTCTTTCTGACGGCACGGTCGCTGATCATGACGACTTTTGGTCACACGACAATCTTCTTTTGCAGCGAGTCGTTTCTTTTTATGAAGTGAACAGGTCTTTTGATGTATACTTATATTGTTATTCCTGCGCCTGGCAAGACCAATTGTAGTTTAGAGTACTAGGATTAAGTGGCCTTGGGTTATTAGCTCGCTCGATCAATGCGTTTGCAAGCAACGACCTTGTACTAACATTATGGAATTCATCAAAAACCTAGCCCTTGTCGCCTCAATCCGTGAGACCTACGCCGATGGTAGGGGCACAAGCGTGACCTGCCCATGGTAGGCGCTTTTACTCTGGTCTGGATACGTATTGTTGTAAAATGATACGAATGGAAAGAGCTCGGTTGTCGGTGGCAGCATCGAGTCGATGCTTGCACTGTCGACGCGCTTGCCGTTCACATCAAATGTGATCTTTTGCGTGTCTCGGTCGTACTGGGCGACGATGACGCAACCACTCAGATAGTCGGGCAACCTCTTGGTGGTACGGAAGCAGCCCTTGGCGTCACTGACTGCAGCATTCGCGTAAAGGGGCTGCGTCGCATCAAACGCGTCTTTGGACGTAAAGCCGATCGCAAAAGAGAGCACCAGGACGTCAATGCGCACTGCAAATCGGTCGCTTGGCACCAACGCGAGCACCGAGCGCTGGACCGACTTCATCGTGACGGCGACCGTCTGGCAGTAGTTGGCGTGCACTAGCTTCATGTTGGCGTCGGACGGTGCCCACATGCGATCCAGCGGCACGGGCAGCGGCAGCTGGAGGAACTCTAGCTGGCGCGAGACGTGGATGATCTCGTGTGGCGCTAGACCGGAGAGCAGCAGCGCGTCGCAGCGCAAGTGGTTCAAAATGTGCTCAAAGTACGTTGGGTCCAAGTCCAGAAAGTACGCGCCGTCGGCGTCCGGCTGCCAGTTGCCGCGCAAAAGCACCTCGAAGTAGCTGTCACGGACCTTGGTCAGTGTTGCTTCCGACGTGCAAAAGATGCGACCGCCAACGTTGAGCCGGATGAACATCTCGGTCGTTCAAATTCACAATGCTCGGTAGTGCTTCGTGTGAAGATCGCGACTCCTCGGTCGTCAACTCCTCGACTCTTCGTTTGTTTTGGCCGTTGGACCCAACCACCAGTGAATCCGAGTGGTTTTCACCAGCCCCGGACGGCGGTTTCCACTCACGAGGATGTGTTATCAACGGAAGGTTTTTCTTTACCACTTGACTTCACTATACCCGTTTCTGGAATCCCGTGCGCCGCCTTCGTGGCCTCATTTCCACACGGACGCACTTTCCTCAGCGGCTGTGGTCTTTTTTTCTCTCTCTGTCTCTGTGTTGACCCAGCCAAGTGCTGTTCGTTCCTTATGTGGCCAATTGGCGGATTCTCCGCCTTTGGGTCTGGGAGGGCCTTTGGGTCTGGGAGGGTTAACCCTCCCAGACCCAAAGGCGGAGAATTCGCTACTCCGTCCCAGACCAGTGGCACGCTTTTTGTTTGCGTGACCGCCAAAAATCGAGTTTTGCGAAATATAAGCTTACCCTGGGAAGATAGAGTGCACGCATGGAGTCAGGGGAATCCTTGCATGGAGTGTACTAGTACGTCATCATTACACTGTATTATACAGATACAGTACAGGGCGATTTACAGGGACCGGTGGGGCGTTTCCCCGAATTGAAATTTTGAAGAGCCAGATAAAGATACCCGAACGGTAGCGCGGACGGGTGGAGAAGCTCTCAAGGGTACATAAATTGCAATCAATTTAAACAGGAATAAACTCCGATAATTAATTATCCGGCTAAGTACCGGTACAATGATTGAAAACCAGTCACTTCGAGATTCGTCATGGGTCACAAAGACATGTCCCCTGGGCTGCGTCTGGCCGTCCTGCTCGCCACCAACGAGCGTCTCGTCGGTAACAAGCCTCGCCAAGGAGCGTTCTCTGAGGTCGCACGTCTGCACGGGTGTAGCCGCACCGCAGTCAGACGTCTTTGGACCAAGCACAGCGACTTTGTGACGACCTCGCGCCCGATTGACCACACCGCTCTTCTTGCACGTTTGTCGCACAAGCGCAGCGCGTGTGGACGCAAAGGCCGTGCGATGCTCGAGGTGCAACAAATCGTAGCTGCTGCCGAACCCGATGCCAAGGAGACGTACCGCTCACTCGAAGAAGCCACGGGCATATCGAGGTCGAGCTTGAGCCGCTACACGAAGGCTGGCTGGTTAGCTACCCAGTCCACCTCTCTGCAGCCAGCCTGCAACAGCGCAAGCACACCAAGAACCTCCAGGAATTGATCAAACCAGGCGAAGACTTGTTTGAAGAGCTCCCTTACGAGAAGCTTGAAGACATCTTCTACACGTGGCCTGCCGTTATGGAGCAAGTCATGCTTGAGAAGGGCGACAACAGCTACGACATTCCTCACCTACACAAAATAGCTCAACGTGCAACGCTGGGCCCGCTTCCCCAACGCTACATTTGCTCGATGAAGTACGACGTACCACTAACTTGTAGGTAGTGGGACGCATGCCAAGTCGTCGCGTTCATTTGATGGATCAACCAATTCAAAATTTACAAACTGTAGAGGATGTACTACACGCAGCTCTTGTCGACGGACTGAGTGAGACCTACGGCGACGGTAGGGGCACAAGGGTAACCTGCCCCAGGTAGGCACCGCCATCCGTGTCTGGATACGGCATGGCGTAAAACGATACGAATGGAAAGAGCTCGGCTGTCGGCGGCAGCACCAAGTCGATGCTTGCACTGTCGACACGCTCGCCGTCGACGTCAAATGTGATCTTTTGCGTGTCTCGGTCGTACTGGACGACGACGATGCTTCCATTGCGCGCTGATATCAAGCGCTCGGTATGTGTCCCATGAAAATGCTCGAAGAACGCTCCGCTCGAGTATTCGCCAGAAATGCCCACGGCATGGACGTTGGACGGCGCCGTGAGTGCAAACGCGCCTTGTGGCGTCAACCCGATCGAGATACCGCACATAACAAAGTCCATGTGCACCGCAAATCGGTCGCTTGGCACCAACGCGAGCACCGAGCGCTGGTGCGTACGCATCGTGACGGCGACCGTCTGGCAATAGTTGGTGTGCACTAGCTGCATGTTGGCGTCGGTGGGTGCCCACATGCGATCCAGCGGCACGGGCAGCGGCAGCTGGAGGAACTCTAGCTGGCGCGAGACATGTATGATCTCGTGCGGCGCGAGGTTTGCGAGCAGCGGCGCGTCGCAGCGCAAGTGGTTCAAAATGTGCTCAAAGTACGTTGGGTCCAAGTCCAGAAAGTACGCGCCGTCGACGTCCGGGTCGCGACGCAGAAGCTCCTCCAAGTAGCTGTCTTGGACCTTGGTAAGTGTTGCTTCCGACGTGCAAAAGATGCGGCCACCAACGTTGAGCCGGAGTAGCATCAGCGTTGTTGTTGTTGTTGGTGGTGGTTCTTGTTGGGAAATTCGGTTATGAACTCACCTCAAGAACCTGCTCAAGAACGGCGGTGCTGTTGATTGTGACTTCATGTTTCTGCACGCCGACACAGGGTTTGATTGGCTACCGGTACTGGATCCCAAGGGCAGAAAAAGACAGATTTTATTCCATTGCTGGATCTCAACCGCTCTCTGGAGCGAGTGCGATGTCATGAGCCGTCTTTGCGACCAAAATGCCAAATTGTCGTCTAAGATGCCCGTGGCACACTCCCGATAGTTCGCATGAGCAGCAGATTCCTCCACGTCGTTGCGAGAGCCCATGGTCCAAAAGGATTGACATGCATTCCCACGAAAACAATCACTCTAGCAAGTTTGACACGCAACGGCAATGTCGGCAAGCAGCGTATTCCTTGGATCACGGGACCTTGTCGCCACGATCGCTACGCACCAAAGTGGACTACCCGAAGCGTTTGCTGATATGACGCGCATCGCCATCGAGCTTGCTGGCTACGGGGATCTATCAGCACTAATACCTCGTCGACGTCCACACGCGGCTGTCGACAGGGGCGTACAGCGGTACCAAGACCCTAAGAATATCCTCTCGACGTACGTGATATTCGTATCGTTAAAACAAGTCGATCCGGCGCTTTGCATGCACCTCTGAATTATTGTTGGCAAGATCGACGTCATCACGATGTGGCTCCACCACAAGCCAGCGCTGGTCTCGTCTGCAACCCTCGAGCTCGCTTCGGCCGCGTCTCAGAACGCCATTATGTGCTCACTGTTTGAGCGTTTTCCTCATAAAGTGACGCTCAAGATGATGGCCCCGTGGCCACGTCGAGCGACCTGGCTGCCGCGAATATGTCATGGCGCTGGCACTGGCTCGTCGAGATCTACAAAATGCCGCCGCACCCACATCGGGGGTGTACGTGGCTGACAAGGCCTAAGTGACCCACTCGTCGCACTTATGCGCGTCGATGCTTCTTGCAAGGTCCCCAACGACGGCCAAATTCGCAAAGCGCCGCTTTTTCTAGGCGGCAAAGCACTTGGTCAAGGCAAGATCGACTACCGGTACGTCAATGGTCTCGCCACTACGTTAGCTGTCCGGCAAGGCGATCCCGTGATTGCAAAGTTTCTTGGCGGCCATGATGTGTGGCCAGCCACCATGAACGAGTCACGACGTCCAGAACCAAACGTGCTGTCTCGGAGCGATTCTTGATGCCATGATCACGTGCCACGTCGACGCCGTCACGTATTATCTGGCGTGCCGCAGCTGGCACGACCAACCGAGGCACTATCACAAAGTCCACTTCACCGATGTATGAATTCACGGCCAAGGTCGGCACGTTGCTCGCATCACCTTGTCTCTGGGCGTTCCACCTCACCCAGCAAACTTTGACGGCGAATATTTCTCGCTGTACGTCTTCAACGCCGACCTAACGTAGCATTTTAGTCTCTCCAAAGTGCCCTCTATCGATGCACCAAGTTTGAGCGACATCGTTTCAACCTTGCTTTGGCCATCGGGCGCCCCAGCGAGCGTGCGCGCGCTATCGAGCTCATCTATGATTGGTTGGATCTTTCACTATTTTCGGCCAATCAAAATCTCCTAAATCCATTACACGTTGCCCAGGATTTCTCTCGCTGTACGCCTCCCATGCCAGCCTAACTCCGCGTTTTGTAATCTCTGAAGTGTCCTTTAGCAATGCACAAAGTTTGAGCGAAACTTTGTCCGCGTCGATTTGGTCATCCCTCGACCTCGGTGGCGGCGAGCACAGTTCAAAGTCATCCCGGATTGGTTGATTTAACTCGAAATTAGCCAATCAAATAATCTCCTTTCTCGCGCGCAAGACCAAGCGGTGGCCACCAGTCGCGACAGCGGTTTGTTGGCACAGGCACGTCGCAATGCTACGCTGCTTGGTTAAATCAATGGCATTTGATGTCACGATTAGCGTCCACGACAAGGCCGTGCGCTGCAAGAACGTGCTGTACTTGGCATCCCTTGCATGACAAGTCACCACCAAAGAACACTCTGCACAATGCGTCACCGGTATTGCCATATATATATGCATGCACTCACGATATCCCTACCGGTACAAGATGCGAAGTCCCAACCTCCTATACGAGTACTCGTGTAGTACGGCGCACGCCGCATTGACTGGAGCCCAAGGGAACAGAAACACTTCAGACGATAAACTGAATCGATTCATGATGCCCCGCGAGATGACGTGATATATTGATAAAAATAAATGCGAAGTTCCAACGAGTGCTGAGGTCCTCAGGGGTTTTATACGTCGACGAGGCACTTCCTATAACTCCTGTATGCTATTTGTACAAGTGAATGAATCCTGACAGCCGCGAGCGATGCGGTAGAATTTTGATTCAATTTGAAGAAAAGAATGACCTTATCCTTGGACATACGACTACGCTGACGGCACCGGGACGAGCGAAACTTGCCCGAGGTACGCATCGGCCAACGCCTTGCTTGCGTCAGGATATGGCGTTGTGTAGAACGACACAAAGGGAAACATGTCGACATTCGGTGGCGTCTCGACATCGATCGCGGCGGTCTCCGCGGCCTCCCCGTCGACTTCGAAAGAAATTGTTTTGACTTGGTGGTCGTACCGAACGACGACGACGCTTTTGGGTCTCATATAGTACAGATTCGTCATCATCTTGGTGGCGGGGTGGTGTTTGATCCGGCTGGCGTAATTGCTGCAAGTAATGACTGCAGCATTCGCGTAAAGGGGCTGCGTCGCATCAAACGAGTCTTTGGACGTAAAGCCAAGTGCAAAAGAGTGTGCCACGACGTCAATGCGCACTGCAAATCGGTCGCTTGGCACCAACGCGAGCACCGAGCGCTGGACCGACTTCATCGTGACGGCGACCGTCTGGCAGTAGTTGGTGTGCACTAGCTTCGTGTTGTGATGGCGCCCGCGGTGCAAACACAAACATCAGCGAGGGGAGAGCCGTCTCCCGTGAAGCAGGCAGTTGTATTGGGCTTACACCACTGAGGCAAAGATGAAGTGAGCTACCAGAGCTACAGTATCCCCATGTCTTCCGGATGACTCTTCTAGGAAGGGTCACTACCGGTATGGAAGGATAGAAGGATACTAATCCAACGACTAGTATGCAATACAAAAGCCCTTACAACATACATCTTCACACGGCTTCTCCAGCTGATCGCAGCTTGCATTGGTCGGACATGGCTTAGCCTTTGATCCACACACAACACACCCCCAAGCCATGGCCACCGGGCAGGCTGGGTACAAATGCATATGTAAAGAAACATCAATACACGCATTCACCTGTCGTAAGCGGCGTTGATCGGGCCCATCGGCAAGTGACTCAACATACCGCTGGACGACAGTTGGGCACTTCCCAGTGCACGTGCAGCTCGTAGACATTGGCGGCTTTGTTGTAGCGATGCGACGCGATCGCAGCCACCTTGAGCATGACACCTTGCTCCGACTCATGGTCGATAATGTCTTCCTTGTGCATATCGCGGAGGCTGAGCCGCAGCGCATCCACGATGTTCGGCACAGCTGCAGTGACAATGTGGCACATGCCGAGCGATCCGCATCCGGCTTGTCCTGACACTCGCTGATCGCAGCGAGAGTCGGCCACACCAAGCGATCATCGTCAATCGGACGAGGCGCTTGCAGATGAGCCCCGACGGCGCTTGTTCGGCCGATTGTCGTCGAAACCAAAGACGTCGCCGGGCCGCGGTGTACCCACCGACTCATCCCTCTTTTCTTTCCACTTGATCAAGTAAACGTTGCACAACGCAGCAACGCCGCGATGTCCGGCACTGCCGCAGCGACCAATGATGAGGATCCGATCCATGAGGTCTTCAACGGCAGATGGCATCCAGATGAGAATCTGGACACGCCAGACGTCACCCACCAATGTGGCACTTGCCGGGCGATCCGCGCTCGCCTTGTCCTGACACTCGCTGATCGCAGCGAGAGTCGGCCACACCAAGCGATCATCGTCAATCGGACGAGGCGCTTGTAGATGAGCCCCGACGACGCTTGTTCGGCCGGTTGTCGTCTACCTTGAACTCGCCGCGATCGCGCAGCAGTAGACCGCACCGAAACCATTGACGTCGCCAGGCCGCGGTGTCCCCACCGACTCATCACGCTTCTTTTCCACTTGATCAAGTACTCCTGGCTGACGATCTCAATGGGTGGGAAGTCGATCGTCGAGACCACAAAACCCGTCCTTGTTTGGCATCGCCACCCATTGATCGTTCGGCCAGAGTAACCTTGGTCATTTTGCCTGAACGCCGGTTCGAGACTAAAGTATACTTTGTGATGGCGCCCGCGGTGCAAACACAAACATCAGCGAGGGGAGAGCCGTCTCCCGTGAAGCAGGCAGTTGTATTGGGCTTGCACCACTGAGGCAAAGATGAAGTGAGCTACTAGAGCTACAGGAGCTATCCCCATGACTACCGGATGACTATTCTAGGAAGGGTCACTACCGGCATGGAAGGATAGAAGGATACTAATCCTACGACTAGTATGCAATACAAAAGCCCTTACAACATACATCTTCACACGGCTTCTCCAGCTGATCGCAGCTTGCATTGGTCGGACATGGCTTAGCCTTTGATCCACACACAACACACCCCCCAAGCGACGGTGCCCACATCCG